CTCTGAAGAATCCTGGTAATCATGAAAGGAAATAGGTGAGATTGAGAAAACGTGAAGTTGTGGCATTGGTGCTTGCTTTCTTCTATTTTTTATTTTTTTATAATCACTTCAGTGTGATTATAGTCTAAAGGATATAATCTACTTTAGGGAAAATAAGGAATGAGATTGGATAGAATTAGGAACTATAGAGGAAAAACCTTGGGCTGAAGAAGGAGCATCTCTTACTCTGAGGCAAAACAAGACATGCCTTGTGAGTTCATGCAGTATATGGCACTGATAGGCCAGGTAATTTTGATGCTCATAGATGACACTGTCGTGCCCAGACATGCGAGTTCATTGGACAGGTGGACCAGAGTCACAGACCCAGGTCCAGAATTTTGGGAAACAGATGCAAAAGTGGGAAATGATGACACTTACAAGGAAGAAATAGAAAGTGTTAATTCTTACTTTGGGACCTGAAAAAGGCATTATGTGACCTAGCAGGAGGAAAGGATAGGTATGGAGGGGAGGCAGTATATTGTGTTGTGATAAGGACTTGGGACTTGGAGTCAGATAAAAATGAATTTGTATCTCAGCTGAGGTCCTTATTAAGTGCATGAGCTTATGTAAGGCACTTAACCACTCCCTGCTTGAGTTTTCTTCACATGTCAGTTAAAGGCAATGGTATTAACTTCACAAATTTGTTGTAAGGAATAAATGAGAAGTTGATATAAAGCTTTCAGAGGGCAAGACATATAGAAATTTATTAAAGTTTCTGTTTGTTCATTTGCATTACACAGACTAACTATGAAAGAGGGAAGAATGGCGAATGTTCTAGCACCAGGGCTCTATGATCTCTCTGAATTATGAGTAAGCCATTTGGTGGGCTTGAAAAAGGTAAAGCTTTGGGAGAGAGGTACCATGAGGAAGAGTAGAAACTGACTAGGAGCGCATAAAAAGTTTGCAAAGTATTCATGACATTGGTCTTGGTAATGATTTCATGGATACGTTGTGTCCTTATCACAGTAACAATAGTATTGCTAAGTAGAGTCAAAAGCCCAGCTGAAGTAGGTGGCCATTATTTGTAATGTTACTACATTGAGTAGTCAAGTTATTTCTCTAGAATTGAGGAATATGAGGAAGATTGTAGAAGAAGAAAAAGTGGATGAGAGAGTGGAGTGGATCATCCAATGAGGAGGGAGGGAGAGAGAGAAAGAAAGAGAGAGAGAGAGAGGCTGAATTGACTGCAGAATCAGAGGCACAGGTCTGGACATGAAAGGAAGTGAAATCAAGGACTTGAGAGGCTGGGACAACACACAAAGGTGTGCAGATTTCAATAACCTCGAAAATCAAACATAACAAGATGGGAGTAAGGCAGATTCAGAAAATGGGATTTGTTAGGCAGAAAGCACAATGAAGATTGCTAATGTGGAGAGGAGGTAAAGCAGTGAGCTCATGAAGAATGTAAGAGACGGGTCAAAGTCACATGAATGAGCACTAGGAGGTGACTAAGTGTAATGGGCAGTGTTTGGACTGAGATAAACCCAAGCCAGGTGCCAAAGCCATCGGATTTAGCATATGACGCTGATGAGGACAGCTAGAAGCTGGCAGAACTAGATGGTAAGCACACTGGCAAAGCTTAGATTGCTTTTTACCCATAAGTCTCCTCTAGCTCTCTCTCTTTCTCTAGAGAGTCTATAGATAATTATACAGAGTCTGAGGCTAGGATACGATTCTTAAAGGAAGAGTCAAGATATAGGCCAACACAGTAGCTAACACACCCACACTTAGTATATATACAGTAAGTGTTTATTGCATGATTCTGTGAAATCCTATGTTCAATCCACATATGAGTCCATTAAACTGTTTACATTTTGCCAAATCACAAAGCAAAGACTACTTAACCATTAGACCAGATACAAATCTTGCTTGTTATAAAGTTAGGAATTTTAAGACGCCCAAACCTTCCTTCCAAAGCACAAATGCTAGTTGCATTTTGGTATTTTCCTTCATGCACAAATTTAGCAAATATTCATTGAACAACAACTATGTACCAGCACTGTTCCATACATTGGAAAAATAGTGGAGGAAAAGGCAAACAAGGTCACAGCTCAGGGAGTTAAATTCCAGTGGGAGAAAAACAGTCAGCATATAAAACTATATATATATATATGTGTGTGTGTGTGTGTGTGTGTGTGTGTGTGTGTGTGTGTGTGTGTGTGTGTGTGTATATATATATTAATTTCGGTTAGGAGGAAGGCCGTGGTGAAATTAAAATAAATAGGTAGAGAGTAATCAGGAGTCCTGGAATGCCATGATTTTATATAAGACAGTCAGAGAGAAGACCTCTGACAAGGTGACATTCAGCTGAGACATGATGGAGAAGAAGGAGTCAGCCATGTGAAGATTGGGAGGTATTCCAGGTAAACAGGTGGTGTAAAGGCCCAATGGGAAGATCAAGTTCAACAGAGAAGGACGGAAACAAGATCAATATGTCTGTACTAGTCTAGTAAGAAAAGCATATCTTTTCCCAAAATGTTTCATGTTTTAGCATGAATATGATCATAGTGTATATTCAATTTTTAAGGACTACATAGTGGTTAAAAACAGACTCTGGAGGGACTGCTAGCATTTAAATCCTGGCACCTCCTTTTCTACCTATGTTACGTTGGGAAAGCTTACCTAACCATTCTGGCATATTCTCTTACCTGTAACATGGTAATAATAATAATAATACCTACTGGGCTTCCGTGGTAGCGCAGTGGTTAAGAATCCACCTGCCAGTGCAGGGGACATGGGTTCGAGCCCTGGTCCAGGAAGATCCCACATGCAGCGGGGCAACTAAGCCCGTGCCCCACAACTACTGAGCCTGCACTCTAGAGCCTGTGAGCCACAATTACTGAGCCCACATGCCACAACTACTGAAGCCCATGCCCCTAGAGCCTGTGCTCCGCAACAAGAGAAGCCACTGCCATGAGAAGCCCACACACCGCAACAAAGAATAGCCCCTGCTCACCACAACTAGAGAAAGCCCACACACAGCAACAAAGACCCAACGCAGCCAAAAATATATAAATAAATTTATTTTAAAAAATAATAATACTTCATACAGGTATTATAAGAATTAAAAGAATTGATAGCCATAAAACACATAAGAAGTGTTTGGCCCATAAAAAGTTCTTCTTATATAAAATCATATTCCATCTTTTTTTTCCTGACTGCATTACGTGGGAGAGATAATCTTTTTTGTTATATATGTTTATTGGTTCTGAGCATCCCATAATTCAATTAACTGTAGAAGCAGGTTTTCTTAATTTTTCTATGTCATAAATCACTCAACAATGAACATTATTATTGTGCCTTGAGATTTTCCACAGCCGTGATGACCTGGGTGGCAGATTATGGGAAAATAGTAAAAATATTTCAGTATCTGAAGCATCCATAAGAGTCATGCTCATCTTGATTAGTTTTTCCTGAGATTACTACCAAATGACAAAGGAAAGCTATGCTATCAATTGTCATCTTGCCAGCCGAATTTATCCTGAAGGAAAGTTATGCTTGGCCTGTATAATGTTTCCAAAAAAATTTTTATTGAGTTGCCAAAGATCAAAAAATCTCACAATTTACTATTAAAAAACCCCATATTTCTGGCTTCTTCTGAAAAATAATTTATTTCTTTTAAACCGATAGAACATAGTGGCTATGAGGCAACAATTGTGGACAGATTTCTTATAAAATTTTTGCCATTTTTCCATAATTTTATGCTTTAACCTAAAGTTCATACTGTTAACATTGTCTAAATATATTATAAGCTTTTTACACTAAAATTTTAAAGTATTCTATTGAAAATGGCTTGAGGAAACTGAATTTCTCTATAGGAAAACCTAGAGTAGCTCAGAACATATGAAAATAGTTGGAGTCTTTGAAATGTGGCTTAACTTTCTTTAAAAATAGTAAAAAAATCTCCCAAACAGGCAAGTTTTTGTTTAATGTTTGGAGTTTTGCAAATTTAAAGTTATGTAAGTGTGATTCACTTGAACTAAATAAAAATATGAAGAGGCAAATACAGAGGATATTCCTATTAACTATTATGAATTACTGAAGTAAAAACAGCTTTTCACTAACATACACATTGTATTGTGTGAAAGGAGGCACACACCATAATCTATTTGATCTAAATTAAATTTACTAAATACAAATACACATTATACTTATGTGTATAGACTTAAAGTCTGAAAAATGAATTTCTAAAAGGCATACAGTTGGCACTTAATATTTATTAAATATTTTTTTCTATTTTTAAGCTCTATTGAGATATAATTGACAATAATGTGTAAGTTTAAGGCATGAAATGTGGTGATTTGATATACAGATATACTGTGAAATGATTACCACACTAAGGTTAGTTAGTAACATTCATCACCTCACATAGTTACCTTTTTGTGTGTGTGTATGTGTGGTTCTAACATTTAAGATCTACTCTCTTAGCATTTTTCAAGTATACAGTAAAGTGTTAACTATAGTCACCATGCTGTATATTCGATCCCCAGAACTTATTCATCTTAAAACTGAAAGTCTGTACCCTTTGACAAATATCTTCCAGTTACCCCGGTGCCTGGTAACCAACCTGTTTCTATGAATTAGACTTTAGATTCCACATAAAAGTGAAATCATGCAGAATTTGTCTCCTGTCTAACTTACGTGTGTGTGTGTATGTATATATATATAATATATATACATACACACACACACATAATATAAAACATTATATTATATAAAACATTTTGTTTATCCATTCATCCATTGATGGATTGATGGACACAGGTCATTTCCATGTTTTGGCTATTGTACATAATGCTGCAATGAACATGACGGTGAGGATATCTATTTGAAACTGGAAAAAAGATAAGAAAGTCTTTATACCATAAATATATAGCTGCTAAGTCAATAAAGCTTTATTTTTTCTGACATGCATCTCCAGTGTTGTATGCTTTTTATTCTTATTGCATTTTCGTTTGCAGAAAACTGGGCACAAACCAGAAAGTGTGGATTTGTGTGGGGCATATATTGAATGGGCCAAAGAAAAATCAAGCAGAAAGAATGTCTTTCAGGTAAGAATGCTACATAGATTCAAATTATTCCTATTCCTTCTAAATCTGAGCTCTCTTGGGTAATCAAAACAAGACTACCTTGTTACGATGTTTTCATGTGCATGAACTAGTTGTGTAGAGGTCATTGTGAAAAACCTGGCTTCTCTTCCTTGTTGAATTTTGGTTGTTTTGTTGTTTTTCCCTGGTGACTGCTTGCTATCTAAATACAAAATATATGTTCTGTGGTGATTAATTATATACCCAAAAGTCATTAAATTTTGCAGTGTATTTGATAGCTGTTTGTGGTTCAAACCTAGAATGCTTGACTTAAATAGATTTAATGTAGGACTTTCAGACGTAAACAAAGTAAGATTTGCTAATTATGATAAACTATTTGCATTCATTGCCATTCCTGCTTTCCAGTCATAAATTATATTTACCAATGTAACTTGGGGGATGGAGAGAGCTGAACATTTATAAAAATTGGATTTTTCATATTGTATAATTTTTTGGAAAAAAATAACTGTGATTAATAATTTCAATCATGTTCCTTTGAATGGAAAGCACCAGATGAAATCCTTGAAAGAAAGGAAATGGGAAAACTTAATATTTCACATATGATATTACTGAAATCCCTTTGGCAATTAATAACTTCAGATTATGGAAGTTGATCTTTTTCTATATTTACATGACATTTAATTTACTTTTATATCTCCAAAGTAACCAATAACTTTATAGGTATATTTTAGAATTTATATCATTTAGTAGGAACTAGATTATCATAATTATTGTATCAAATGTCTTCTGAGACCATTTTAACACTTGAAGAAAAGTCAATTCTGTTCTTAAATGTATCACTAAAATTAATGTATTCGGTCTTATAGAAGTATAGGTAGGTGACATTTCTTATCTGAACTCTCACTGGGAAGAAAAATCTGATCTTCAGTTTGTTTTTGCATTTTCCAGATGCTCAATGAGTTCTAGCCAAATAATTTGGACTTATGTTAATTAAAAAAACAAAACAAAACAACATGAATAAACACTTTTAACATATTATGGAATAACTTATTTTTCTGATTATAGTTGAATTCTATTTAGGTATTCATTTTTATATGGTAGAGGCTTTTTTGTTTTCCTTTTTCTTTTTAACCAAAAATGAGGAAGAAGGAAAGAAAGGAAGGAAAGAAGAAAAACAAAAAAAAGAAATAAAGAAAACTAAATATACTTGCCAAGAAATCAAAGGACTAAAGCCCAAAGTGATTAGAAGGTGATTACAGAATCAAGAAGTAAAATTAAATTTTTTTTTAAAGTGAGGAATTGTAGATCAGTGATATACTCTGTCTCCCAATCTCTTGCTTTTTTTTTTTTTTATTCTGCTATAAATAAGAAAATTTAGGGGCTATAATCCTAGCCTCTGTGACAACCTAGATAATCAGTATGGCTAGTTCTGAGCAGGGTAGGGTGAGCTAAGTGGTTTAGTTTTATTATGTATTGTGAGTTTAGCATCCTAATCATCAATGTTATAAAATAAAGACATTATAAAAAACAAAACAAAACAAAAATAAAGACATTAAAATTTGACACTGACATAATTCTTGAATAGTAGAAACCCTCGGAGTTGAACTAAGGAAGACTTTTTCAGTTCCTTCTGTTAACCTTATGAAGAGTTAAGTTAGATCACAAATGAGGATGATAATCAAACATGTATGATGTGTACAGGGCTGCGAATATGGAAGAAAGTATTTAAGTATAATTTTACATAGCTGTGAATATAATATTCATAGATGTATATTTAAACCAATACATTGATAATATGTTATCATCCTAACCTTTTCGGGGTGTGACTACCTCTGTTATAATATTTTACTCATTTTTCTTATTTCTTAATGTAGGTACTTCCAAAGATATTAAAACTATTCTCACTTTTGGTAGCTTTTTGGAGGTGAAAATCTTGCCAGTTAGCTTTGTTTGTAAGATACCTAAGCAGTTCATGGGACTTCAGTTTTCTTACATCCAGTTTATCTTTTTTTGTCTTGTACCCTTTAGTTTAGAGAAACAAGAGGTGATGATAAGGATGTTGCAAATAATAAAACTAAAGAAAGTTTCAGGTTTAATTTCCTGCTTCATTCTTTTTGGGGTGAATCATGTGGTTTTCTTGTCATGCTGAAATCTTTTCATCATCTAAACATATGAGCTTAGGTAAAATTGACTAATACGTATCCATAGTGAAAGTAAGCATTTCAAGAGGAACAATATAGATAGCTTTTATAGTTCTGTTAACAAAAAAGCATCGGGAAGGATTTGTCAGAGAGCTAGCTCTAGATGACTTGCATCAATATTTGATTAGGTACATTAGATGGAATAACTCTCAAATGATCAGAATAAACATGATTATATCTCAAAAACATGGTATTAAGGCATTGTTGGGGTATCTGAGTGTGTGTGTTCAAGGGTTTCATTACCTACAGGATAATGAAGTATTTCTTCCTCCGTGAAAAAGACCATCACAGTTTTAGCCGATGTGCTACATCAGAAATAGCTTTAGAATACCAAGTTTGAATTAGGCATGGTGTTCAATCTCAGCCTATGAATTATAGATTACAGATAGCAAATGACTATTGAGATTTTTGGTTCAAGAAAAATCAAGGAAAAGCAAAATTAGAAATAATTTAAAATTTGAAATCTGTCTTTAAAAAGTTGATGGATTAGCAGTTATATGCCACATAATTACAATGTCTCTAGAGAAGTTGAACTTAAAATGAAGAGGAAAACAAACAAACATGTGCCTGAGATATGCTTGAAAGACTCAGAAGCAAACATTTGTGACACAAAAAAATGGAAGGATTTCATTTGTTTCCTTTGTATATGTCATTTGGACATTTGAGTTCATTTTCTTTTTGCATTAAAAGTCAAATTTTCTTTATAGTCAAAGTCTTATTAAACTCTTGATGTAGATTCAGTCTTATTTGATTGGTACATAGTAACATAACTGTGCCAGCATTAACTAATTAGGTTTTGTATACAACTATTCTCAGTAATTCAGAATGATGCTCACTGGCTGAGTTCAAGAACATCTGCCTATTTTAGAGCAGTTTTTGACATAAGTAGCTTTAATAATAAATAATATATTAAAGATATTTAGCAACTTCTATAATATATATATGTAAAGTAGACATAGACAAGTCATAATATGTGTTTAAAGTATAAATGTACATACATGTATGCATATATGATGTATGTGTCAATGTATATGCCCACATGTAATAGCTTGACGTTAAGAAATAGAATGGTCCTTTCCACAGACATACACTACCAACACTGAAAGACATATTGTATTTATTATAAAGGTCATACACACTCTAAGTTAAACTAGTAAATGTTCATTGCTGCTAACTTTTGTTCAATTCTGCATTTAGCGTAATTGTCAAGAACCATCACAAGTTTGATGTAGCTTGAGAAAGCATTTAGCAACCGAGTAAATTGTAATGAAATGTGGTACGAGTTTTCTTAGTTAAGAGCAACCCTAGGTCTTCATCAGGGAAAGAGTGAATAAAAAGATTTATGTTCAAATCACATGTTTTAAGCATTTCTGCTAAGTGCTAGTTTGCTCTTTGGTGTTTAGCCTGAAATTTAAAGCACTGAGGATTAAAAGGATTACAACATAATCTTAAATAATCCTAAATGTCATTTACAGAGAGATACTTGTAATAACTAAATAAAACCATGTGAAAGGATGGCAGTATTGTCAGGCAGCATCTGTAACATAAGCAGTGCTTCTGTCACCTTCTCTTTCCTCATGGATACGTCAGGCATTTACAAAGCTTTTCAATAGAAGTTCAGTTGAGAAAATGGTTGTAAAATAATTTATAACAATCAGTAATTTTTAAACATCTACTATCTTTTTGTTTCAAAGTTGAAGGAAAAGTTTCACTCAGGTTTCCTTCCTTCCTTTGAACATAAGGCTCTCTGAGCTAAACATTTTTGAAAGTCTGGGGAAAAGGAGTTCATGATATGGCTATCAAATAAATAGATGACACACCTCTAAAACATTCCCAGCTTCCAAGAAGCTGCCCTCTTATTAAATATATGATGGTCCCAAGCACTGTAATTAATTCCATGCCTTTTAATTTAGCACTAAAATATTCTTTACTCCTGTCATGTAAATTAGTTTTGCCTCCTCAAAGAATATACGAAGATAGAGACTATATCCCATACTGCATTTTTAAACCAGAAGACTGGAAACCTTTTAACCAATTCAGTGGTTACTGCTAAGGCTAAAATTGCATTGCTTCAGTTAAAAAAAAAAAAAAAAAAAGAGAAGAAATTCATTGTCATAAAAAAATTTTAAGAAATTGTGTCCACAATATAGGCTCTGTATTCCAAGATGATTTCTGGAGTGTCATCTCTAGTCACTTTTTAAAATGGGGGTTAAGAATAAGAAAAATACTATCTGTTTTCTTGGTCATTTTCATTACAACAGTAGTTGATTACTCATTTGAAATAATTAAACCTTTTCTCAGAGCCAGACGGTGACTAGGCCTCAGTTTTTCTGAGTTTCCTTTCAAATAAAATTTTCAAAAAATTTCACCCATGAACATGCAGCAGGCTCATCTACAGATTACGTGATTTAAATAAGATAATTCTACTATTAATGAATTATGGTTGATTAGAACTGTATCAATTGCCTGCCTTAAAGGCAGAAAAAAATTAAATGACTCAAGAAGATGAAAGTCTATTTTTTTTCCTCTCACCACCAATTTATAACCTCAACAAAAACCATGGCCAAATTTCTTGGATTTGAGATTCTTTTTTTTGCATTACACGGGCTCATTTTTAACGTATAAAAATATCTCAAGGAAGCCAATTCTGTCCCTAAAAGTAAATCTCGGAATAGATTTATCATTAGTTGTATTTCTTTTCTGACTTTGGATGGAGTCTTCTGACTATGATGTATATTAAACATATTCATGTAATATTTTCCATGGATATGCTTTACATTTAAACATAATTTGATAGCTCTT